CCCCCCCCCATCCCATCCCCCACCCCCAGTGACCTCACACTGCTGCGGATACCGCCCCATTTCATCCCATGCTCCAGTGACAACATCATCATTTACTGACTGTAGTTTTTCTCATATTTCATTGGGACATCTCCTTCGTATTGCCCTTAGTGTCCCCTGTTGCTTGTTTTGTAGCTGCAGCGCAAAGTACGGCGGGATGGATATGTCAATGTCATCTCCCTGCCCTCAGCCAACCAGCGAGTGCCTCCCGAGTCCCATTGCAGTGTCGCCGGCTGGGGCCGCACACATGCAGACAGTGAGTGGGTCTCCGACACGCTCCAAGAGGTGGAGCTGGACGTGGTGGAGGATGAGTTGTGTGAGGAGTACCACCACTATAACGCCACCACCATGATGTGTGGGGGAGACCCAGAGGAGGGCAAAAGTTCATTCCAGGTGAATCTCCTTGGACCTTCCCTCTCCCTTTATAAACAGTTATGAACCCGTAGGTGTAGCATTCGGGTTGCAGAGCCGGTGTGCTCGGTGCTGTACGAATAAACGGGCTTCTTTTTTTCTTCTCCCAGAGCATTGCCAGGCTGGGTGGGTGTGTTGCTGAGACTGGATGGGCTGAGGGTTGGGGAGTTGTTGCTGATCTTTGCCTTTGATCTGCCTCTTGCTCAATTTTTCAGGGCGACTCTGGGGGGCCCCTGGTGTGTGGGAAAACAGCCCAGGGCCTCGTCTCTAGAGGATCTGATGATGGAACCCCCCCAGCAGTGTACACCCGGAAGACCATGAGGAGGCCATGACCCTGGGTCGCGGGAGGAATGGCTTCCCATGCCGAAGCTGTGCCACTTCTGTCCCATGGAGATGTGCAGAGTGAAGGCTTGCTCCCCACCCCATCTGTCTGACTCCCCCACACCTATCAGCATCCAACCAATCAGGATCAACTTTGGGAACCCAGGGGAGTTAGGATCCAGGTTCCGCTTGCTTGGAAATCACCACTTAGGCTGCTTCTCCCTCCCCTCCCCAGGGTAACATCCAGCCGTTTCCCACGGGTAGTTCCCAGGAGCTGTGCGCTGCCCGTTCCTAACACACCTGTGTCCTGAGCCGGTAAGGCCAACGGGAAGGGAAATCGGCAAAGGCCACGCTGAACAGATCACAGGGCTCATCACCTCCTTCCCACCTCCTTGCCTCTCTATGCCTCGTCCCTGCTTTGTCGCCAGCATGAATAAAAATGAAGTTAAAAAAAAAAAAAACCAGGTGCTGCGCAATCAACATGAGCTGTGAAATCTAGAGAATTTGCTGCATTAGCCAGGGCCAGGAGGGAATTAGCTCCTAAAGGGGAAAGCTGGGCTGTCATCAGTGCTGTGGGCTAGGACTTCAGAAGATGGTTTCCCTACCCATTGCAGACAGGTACAGCCCTACAAGAGATATCTGCTCTGTCACCATGGGTATCCACATCCGCAGACATGGACGCAAATATCTGTGGCTCATTTTGGTGGGTATGGATGTGGATACCAATTTTGTATCCACATAGAGTTCTCTAGATAGATGGGCAAGGAGCCAGGCATACTCCTTCGAAGTGGGAGGTGATGGTCTGTAGCCAACAGCTTAAGAACTAGAGGACACCAAATGAAATGAATGGGGAGCAGGTTTAAAACTAATTAAATCAAGTTCTTCTTCACACAGCGTATAGTCAATCTGTGGAACTCCTTGCCAGAGGAGGCTGTGCAGGCTAGGACTATAACAGAGTTTAAAGAGAAGCTAGATAGTTTCATGGAGGTTAGGTCCATAAAAGGCTATTAGCCAGGGGATAGAATTGGTGTCCCTGGCCTCTGTTTGTCAGAGGCTGGAGAGGGATGGCAGGAGACAAATCGCTTGATCATTGTCTTCGGTCCACCCACTCTGAGGCACCTGGTGCTGGCCACTGCCGGCAGACAGGCTACTGGGCTAGATGGACCTTTGGTCTGACCCAGTATGGCCATTCTTATGTTCTTATGACCCTCTCCTATGGTGTGTCTAGACAACAGGGTTTTGTCGACAAAAGTGGACTTTAATTGACAAAACTATACCTGCATCTACACTACTGTCGAGTTCTATCGACATAACATTTTGTCAGCAGTTTTGTTACAGGGGTAAACCTAATTCTAGGAGGAATAACGCCTTTTGTTGACAGAGTTCTGTCGACAGAAGGCGTTATTGCATCTACACTGTCCTTTGGGTCTACACTGTCATGTCGACAAAGGGGCTTGCTTTGTCGACAGAACTACTGGTAGATGTCGTCTAGATGCTCTTTCTTGACAGAATCTTTGTCGACAGTATGTGTCGACAAAAGCCTGTCGTCTAGACATAGTCCTAGGATTTTCGCTGCTAGGATTGCTCCTTAGCAGTCAGGAACAACGTTTCCTTCCTGGTTACCAGTGACTCAGAAACAGATGGCGCCATTTTGGGCAATGACTGTGTGTCCTGTCCCCTTTCCTGGTGCAGAGGGCACACCATGGATTTCCTTTCTTCATTTTGTCGGGTTCCCTCATAGACCTTCTCTGCATCTGTTCCAGCCTGAATTCCTCTGCCCATGTGGAGGCAAACTGGCTCCACACGGGAAATAGTGGGAGGAGGGGGAGACGTCAGCTCCCAACCCACCCTGAAGAAGGAGGGCAGAGGTTTGCTGAGGTCTCAGCAGTGGTCCAGGCCACTCAGATTTTGGCATCCCATACCCCCAGGAAGGATACCTGGCAGCAGGCCTGGTCCTGGAAGCCTAGAGACCAGGGCAGTGGCTTGGCTTGGCCCAGATGCATCTGTCCTGGAAGCTTGTGGGGGCCCAGTATGTGGGTCTATTTATGACAGAAAAGAAACTGCACAATGGGGCTGAGTCAGGTGCAAGTAGGATGAAGTCTTCTGTTCCACAGACAGGACTGGGGGCAAGAAATGGACCCCCTCCAAAAGCTCAGGGGACACCCACACAGGCTGTGTGGGAGGGATGTGGCTTCTGGCTGAGACCCACAGAAACATCCGGGTCACCTGGGGTTGCCTCTATCTCATGTTCAAGTCATAGAAAAGACCACTTGGTCAGGAATGATCCACAGGCCAGAGCGCTGCACAGCTGGGGCCCTGCACATCTGGGGCTTCGGAATGCACAGCTGAACGCATGCACTGCAGGGTCCATGCAATGCACTGCTGAGGCTACACTGAGGCC